AAAGGCAAATCCTTGTCTGAAATGAGACCAAAGTCACGCGCCCCTTTCATTTCATTTTCTCTTTTCTTCTCTGCAAACCCTAAAATCAGCTCCCTTTCTTCATTTTCGATCTCCATTTCTTTACCCTTAATCGATCCATCATCGTCATTCATGACAATACCGCCCCCGTTTTGAGATCCTTGTCCCCAAGGATCAAATTTTGGAAACCGGCGTTTCAGAAAGGAGACATCTTCCCAAGTGTAAGTCGGTGGATCCCCAGTTGGCCACTCCACACGGGCCTGTGAAATAGTTCGACCACGCCGAAGGATTTGGCGGTGTTCAATGGCTGCAATTGGCTCGATGCAGAATTTTCCATCCACATCGACGGGTGGGAATTTTGATTCCAACTCCAATGGTGGTGAGAGTTTCTTCTTGAGGAGAGAAACATGGAAGACCGGATGCACCTTAGCCTCTACTGGTAATTCGAGACGGTATGCAACTGCCCCAACTTTTTCAATGATTTTGTATGGGCCATAATAGCGAGCTGTGAGTTTGACATTCTTGCGTAAAGCTATAGAACTTTGCCTGAAAGGTTGCAATTTGAGATATACCCAGTCCCCTGCTTGAAAATTTTTATCAACTCTGTGTTTATCTGCGTTTTGTTTCATTCTGTTCTGGGCTTCCTGTAAATTTTTCCTGAGATCTTGCATAATGTGTCTCCTCTGAGTGATGATATCTGAAACCTCCTCATTGTAGGTGTGAATGTATGATTCCAAAGAGAAGTGAGGAGGGGCATAGCCATAGAGAGCCTCAAAAGGAGTGCATTTTAGGCTAGTGTGATAGTTGGTATTATACCAATATTCAGCTAAAGACAGCCACTTAGCCCACTGTTTAGGATTATCAAAAACCATGCTCCTAAGATAGTTTTCCAAGCATTGGTTTAGCCTCTCTGTTTGGCCATCTGACTGAGGGTGGTAGGCAGATGTGAAGTCTAAGCTAGTTCCCAACAGTTTAAAGAGTTCTTGCCAGAAAGAGCTTGTAAACACTTTATCCCTGTCAGTCACTATGCTCATAGGAAGGCCATGTAGTTTGTAAACTGTATCTAAAAAGAACTTAGAGACAGCAGCAGCAGTATAAGGATGGGATAAAGGTATGAAGTGCCCATATTTGGTGAGTCTGTCTATAACCACCAAGATGACATCCTTACCCCATGATTTAGGTAACCCTTCCACAAAATCCATAGAAATGTGGCTCCATGCTTGATGGGGAATGGGTAATGGCTGCAATAGGCCAGGATACCCTCCACTTTCAGCTTTTATTCTTGCACAAGTGTCACACTTCTTTACCCAGTCAGTGACATCCCTTTTGAGTCCATGCCAATAAAAAACTCTCTTGATCCTCAAATAAGTTCCTTGTATCCCTGAGTGTCCCCCCAGTGCAGAGTTGTGCATTTCAGAGAGGATAAGCTCTCTTAGACCTCCACTGTTCCCTATGATCACCTTACCTTGCTGCCTCAATATTTCCCCCACAAGTTCATACTCTGGGTATAAGGTTGGATCAACCACCTTGGCTTCAATGATGGTTTGGTAGAATGAATCTTGAGCATAACTATCTGCCACCTGTTGCACCCAGCTTGGGCTTAGGGTTGAAATTCCCAAACAATCCTCATCAATCCCACTCCTGGAAAGGGCATCTGCCCCTCTATTTTCAATCCCTTTCTTGTACTGTATCTCATAGGTAAATCCCAATAACATAGAAATCCATTTCTGCTGAAAAGGGGATACCACCCTTTGATCTAGCAAATGTTTCAGGGCTTGCTGGTCTGTTTTGATTACAAATTTGTAGCCCATGAGGTAGTGTCTCCATTTTTGTATGGCCATGACAATAGCCAAGAACTCTCTCTCATATATAGGTAGGCTCTGGTTCTTTGGACTGAGGACTTTGCTCATGTATGCAATAGGCCTCCCATCTTGCATTAGAATGGCCCCAACTCCTGTCCCACTAGCATCTGTTTCCAGGATAAAAGGCTTGGAAAAATCTGGTAAAGCTAGTACAGGAGCTTTTATCATTGCTTCTTTGAGCCTCCTAAAGGCTGATTCTGCTTCTTGATCCCAGTGAAAACCACCCTTCTTCAGTAAGTTTGTGAGTGGTTTGCTAATGATTCCATAGCCTTGAATGAACCTCCTGTAATACCCTGTCAAACCCAAAAATCCTCTGAGCTGTTTAATGTTAGTTTGGCTGGGCCACTGAATCATTGCAGATATCTTGCTGGGATCAGTGGACACCCCAAATTTGGAAACAATATGCCCTAGGTAGTCAACATGCTCTTGACCAAAATGACATTTACTCTTTTTGGCATATAACTCATTGTCCCTTAGGACCTTTAACACCTCCTCTAAATGTAGGAGATGTTCATCCCAAGTCCTGCTATAAATTAAGATGTCATCAAAAAACACTAGGACAGTCTTCCTCATTTGCTTGTGAAACACCCGTTCATCAAAGCCTGAAATGTAGCAGGAGCATTACACAAGCCAAAAGGCATGACTAGGAATTCAAATTGGCCATGATGGGTGTTGAAGGCAGTGAGGTGCCTGTCCTCTGGCCTCATGAGTATTTGGAAATAGCCTGATCTGAGGTCTATCTTTGAGAAAAATTGAGCCCCATGGAGTTCATCTAACAGTTCATCAATTATAGGGATGGGGAAATCATGCTTGATAGTCAAACTGTTCAAGTACCTGTAATCCACACACATTCTCCAAGTAGAGTCTTTCTTTTTCACAAGTAGAACAAGTGATGCAAATGGGCTGTCACTAGGCTGGATGAGGCCTGAGTTAAGTGATTCCCCACCAATCTTTTCTATCTCATTTTTCTGACTGTGTGAAACTCTGTAAGGATGTTGATGCTTGGGTAGACTAGTTTCCTTGAGGGTAATATGATGCTCCACTCCCCTTATAGGTGGCAGGCCAGGTGGATCATCAAACACATCTGAATAGGATTCCAATAGCGAAGTAATTTCAGGGTTTGGTGCTTTATCCTCACTTGGCATTTTGATCCAGAAAATCTCCTCAACTTGTGAGGGAAAATCCTGGTGCACCATTTTGAACAGAGCTGCTCCTGAAATGAGTTTGCAGTTCACTCCTGTGGTAAGAGCCTGTATCTTTTTACCTTCCTTCCTTCTACTGTGACAGTGAAGGTCATGTTGTCATAGTCTAGTTCAATAGGAGTGCAGGATTTTAACCAGTCTCCTCCCAATATGAGGTCACAACCAACATTATCTAGTACCCTGGGTGAAAATACAAAGGTATGTCCCTGCATTTTCCATTTGAAGTTGGCCACCTTGTTGGAACTGACCATCCTGCTCCCATTAGCCACCCTCACCATGAGTGGTTTGGCCCTAGTCATGTTGCAGCCCAACTTCTTTGCTATGGATTCTTGTATGAAACTGAGGGTACTGCCTGTATCAATAAGAATCTGCAATTTTTCTTGCCCCATAGTCTGCACACCCTCATGGTAGTTACCCCACCTTCTCCTGTGACTGCATGTAGGGTTACTTGTATCTCCTCCATGTCACCTTCAGTATCGGGATCTGGCTGGCCATCATGATGTGGTTGGCCATACAATGACTCCTCTTCTTCTGTCATTATGAGATAGGAAATTCTGTTTTTGCACCTATGCCCTTTGGAGAAGGTCTCATCACAGTTGTAGCATAGGCCTTTCTCCCTCCTTGCTGCCATTTCTGAGGATGTAAGCAGCTTGAAATTTGTTTGGTTTGTAGTGGGGAGGGGCTTAGGACTGTCAATTTTCCTTGGCAATGGGTTGTAAGTAGTGTGTGGCCTGTAGCTCCCTTTTATCTTCTTAGTAAGTGCATCCAGAGTATGCAGCTGCCTCTGGCCCAAATCAATAGTTTGTTGAAGAGTGTTAGGTTCAAACATTTGTATGAATGCCTGCAATTCCTCACTTAAACCACTAATGAAACTAGCAATAAAGTATTCTTCTGAATAACCCCCATTGTTAAGCAACAACATGCATGACCTCAGCTCTTCAAATTTGTCCACATAATCAGAATAAGAACCTGCAAGCTTTAACTTATTAAATTCAGCTATGATTTTTGCTTCCTTCAAATCCTCAAACCTTGCAGATATGATTTCTAAAAATTGTGCCCATGTTAGCTCCCCTTGCTTTTGGCCAAAACCTTGAAACCACTGAGCTGCCTTGCCATCAAAATGCATAGCAGCCATTGCAACCCTCTGGGTGTCAGGGATGTTGGGAATTAGCTTGAAATATGATTGGCACTTCAGAATCCAGGTCCTAGGATTTGTCCCATCGAACCTAGGAAAATCAATTTTGGGCAAGGGGCTGACAAATGTTTGAGGTGAATTGTTGAGAAATCTGGTAGTGTGATCAAACTGTGTGTTGGATCCTTGTCTCCCAGAAACAAAAGACATATCAGGGTTACCCAAAATGGATTCAGTGTTAGATGAGCTTGCCTTGCTGAGATTCATAAGCTGCAGTTGAATGGAAGCCATGGTTTTGGTGATCTGTTCGAATTTTCCACTGAAATCAGAATTTAACTCATGGATTTTGTCTTGGATTTTCATTTCAGCAGCATCTCTCTTTAAGCTCTCGGTTTGCACTGTTTGATCAAGCTTTTTCTGTGCCTCTTGTAGGTCCTTGAAACGGGTTGCTTCAGCCATGCTTCAAGGGATTGAAGCAGCTCTGAGTACCAATTGTAGTGATTTGTACTACTTTTAATGGTGAAGTGAACAATTGTAACAGATAGGTAGAAATGGGAGAAACATAGAGATAGAAAGAGAGGAGAGATAAAGAGGAGGAAGATGAGAGTTGGGAAATTTTTCACTTGTTCTCATTCATCAGAAAATGCCATACATATAAGATTCTAACGGGCCCACAAAAATAACAAACTTTCACCCACATTTTCCCTTAACCAACTAAAAAGGTGAAAAACATGCTACCAATAATAAAAAGACAAATGGATGGTGTAGATAAAAATACTAATTATTCTAGCTTGAATCTCCAATCGCCACGTGTCCACCAAGAGTCAAAGGCAAATCCTTGTCTGAAATGAGACCAAAGTCACGCGCCCCTTTCATTTCATTTTCTCTTTTCTTCTCTGCAAACCCTAAAATCAGCTCCCTTTCTTCATTTTCGATCTCCATTTCTTTACCCTTAATCGATCCATCATCGTCATTCATGACACATGTGAGCTGCCATTCAATACCATGTAAGTAGCTGCATCTGTTGATCCCAATTACTGCAGCTACTCGAATATGCTTCGTCATGTTACCTTCAAAGCAGTGTCCATGGAGCAAGAAATGGGAAGCCTATTTTTGTTCGATTGCTAGAATATTTTTTTAGTTTTCATCTTGTTTAAAAATTTGTATTTTGAATCGTAAGACTATTGATGTGTTTGTTAGATTGCAATAATATTATTAGATTAGATCAGATTATTTTATTTTTTGCTCCAATTCAGTTTCTGCAAATGTATGTTTTAATGGGTAAATAAAAAAAAGGACAAATTTCGAGTGACACAAGGCAGGGCGGGTCAGCCCGCCTCAAAACGGACCAGGTCCGTGTTCGTAATTGTCTGGCCCGACCAGGCCTTTTGTCATCCCTAATGAAGTCGCTACAAAATAGTGTTGCTAAATACATAACCACATTGCCATAACAAAAGTGTTGCGCATTGAAATTTATCAACGCATAAATGTTACGTCATTAAAATTCGTTATAACGACGCTTGTAATAAATTGTCACATATTAAAATTTACAACGCATATGTGGTGTGTTGCCAAAATTTATGATGATGACTGCACTAAAAAAGCGTCAACCATGATTATTACAGACACAAATGGCTTGCGTCAGAAATCCTACAAAAGTGACGCATTTAGAAAAGCGTCACATATCAAAATTACCTACGCTAAAGTCTTGCGTCGCAGATAATTTCGTGACATCAAATTTAGCAACGCAACTCGCGATACTTTTAGTAGTGTAGGTAATTTTTTTTGTGACACTAATAAACGTCATTAAACAAAAAAATAAGCGTCACCAAACACCTTGTTTCTTGTAGTGTCGGCTACGGTGACGATCTCTGTGACAATAAAATTTCGTCATCAATTTACTTTTGTGACGAAAAATAAGGTTTACATGACGAATTTTATCGTCATATTTTCTAAAATTTCTTGTAGTGTGCAACTACTCATTTGCTTAGAAACTGGATCCGAATAATAAGAGAATTTTCAAGTTCCTATAAACACACCACGTTTTTTTATTTTTTATTTTTATTTTTTTGTAATATATTTCATTTGTAATCTCTAATTATAATGTTATTTTTTTCAGCATTTAAAAATAACTATTATAATTAAAAAATGCATTTATTTTATTAAGAATAAAATATATAAAAATAATATTAAATGAGTGGAAAATGTGTCGCATATGTTGCCATTTAAATGAAATAACCAATGTGGGTCTGTGTTTAAATAGATAGATGTTTAGTGGAAAGATGATGTGGATGGGGTAAAGTATAAATTGTGACTAAATGAACGGAAATGGATGTGGATGCACTCAGTTCGATTGGCATTGGCATTTCTTTATTCCCAATTGTAGGATACAAGACGGTAGCTCTCGAGCATAAATTTTGCTATGCAGAGACAACTTAAAACATCCATAATGGTTTAGGTCTATCCAAACATATTTACACGTCATGAAGAAAGTAGATTCAACGTAAAAAAAAATAAAAAAAATCTCTATTGAAAATGAAAGTCGATTGATTGACTTGATGTGGCAGTAAGAAAAAAAAATAAAAATCAATTTACACTTAAGTCCAATTGAGACACAAGTAGAGACGTGGTCCCTTTGCATTTGAATGATTTTAGCTACTTTTATTTAGACTTATCAAGACATGTATGCGTTGCAAGAAAATATAGATCCAAAGCATTAGGATCATCTAAGCACATCATTAACTTGGTTTTGGTGCATGCAAGACATGAGAAGCACGAGTATGCTTCCAATTGTAATATGTATTTGAATTTTGTTGCATCAATTAATGTTTGAACAATATATGTTGGTGAGAATGAGAGGGCCAACAAACTCCTTCTCTATGACAGGGCAGAGGTGCAGGTTGAGCTATGAAGGTAGGGTACTGTTGACCTGGCATCACCACTGAGAAGTCGGACGCATATGACGTTTGTGTCTGTTCCCTCACAACAAAAGTAGTTAACGCATCGTCAAATTTCATTTGACTTACAGAAACTACCCCCAATTAAGCTCTAAGGTTTTGAATTTAAGCAGAGGATTTTATGGAATGAATTGTATCTATGTTTAGTCATAGATTGAATTTCATCTATACAACAAATTTAATTCGAAACTAAAAGATTTTTAACTACGTGTATGAAATCATAATAACTCAAACTTAAAGTTTAGTTTTTGTAATAATTATTTTTCTTTAAATAAATGAGATGGTGTCAACTTAGAACTCGTTTTTCCTTTTATTTCAGGGAACTTGGCATCACAATACAACATATAGACTAATGAAGGTAGTGAGATTATGTTTCCTATTTTTTTTTTTTTTTAAGAAAATAAAAAGAACTTCACAAAAACAGACTTACTAAAACATATTTGTAAAGTACATGACCAGAAAATATTCACCCTTGGCAAAAACTCAGGTGTACAAAGAAATAATGCATAAAAATTCCAAAGAAAGAATGAAAAAATAAACATAAAAAACTAACTCACTATTTCTGGAGTCCCAAGTTTGTGCATTTGCCTGGATTCCATGCCACTAGATTCTTCAAGGGGCGCTTCATTCGGTCTAAACAAATGCTCGAATATGGCCATGATGAGAAACATGGAGATCAAGATAGCCGTGGCCACAAACCCGAATGAAATGGCGTTAATAGACGACCCAAAACTCTTCCACGAACCTTCCTTGCTAACATAATCCGCCTCAGTGGGGCCCGGATTTGAGCTGCTGTAAATGTTCCATGGTTTTGATCTACCCGGATTAAACTCGTTCATGCTCATCGTCTCGCCTTACAAATTATGTGTGTGTGTGTGTGTGTGTGTTTTCCCCCTTAAGTAGCTTTTCTTGCTTTTCCTGTTAACAACATAGGCAATACCTCAAGTACCAATTTGTAAACATATATATTTGTAGTGATATGCAGAAAGTAAAATGGACCTTATCTCCTCCACTTAAAAGCAGAAAAAGGGAACCAAAAACAGCCAATGTGCATTAAAAATTAATTAGGATAAAAAAAATTTTTACTAGTGACCTCATCCAGATAGAGACTGTCCAGAATATTAATTTATGAAATTTAGGTAAAAAGCTGAAATATATATAAAAAAAAAAAAAAAAAAAAAA